CTCTCTCTCTCTCTCTCTCTCTCTCTCTCTCTCTCTCTCTCTCTCTCAAAACGAGCAGAACTCCTACTAGAAACTGTGACCTCATGCTGATGTGTTTGTTCTCCCTCTCAGTCTGAGGTGTTGCTGGACTTGCCCTCCTTGACCAAGCGTGCCACTCCTGCTCAGCTCTTCGCCGCCCCCTGTGGATGTCAGTGCTAAGTGCCACACTGCCCCCTAGCTGGAGGAAAAACACACACACTGTTGACTGAACATTAACAATCATTGCCTAGCTTTTTCCAGTAGATCTGCAAACATCTGGGAAAAGAAGCCAATAAATAAATAAATAAATGTCCTAAGAAAACAAATTCCATCTTCAAGAAAGTTGAATGATCCTCAATGGTCAGTTTTTCACTTAAAATGTTCAAACGATGTGCAGTCAGAGAGAAAGCACCATGCTCAAGGACACGGGCCAATCTCAGAAACAGAACCGAGCTCTTTCTAGAACCCGCAGCGTAAAACTCATCGTGAACTTTGAGTGTGTTTTTCACATCAGCTGTTGTGAAGAAAATACTAAATACTGAGCATAACCTTTGACCCCTCCCCACAGCCCTCCTCCACACCGACCTCCAGTCCCTGTGGAAGCAGTGCACCTCGCTCACCACCCTGCCCGGACATGAGGAGGAAGAGGAGTCACAGCATGACAGAGAAATACTGAGGACAGAGAGGAAGAGGAGGCAGTCGAGCGCGAGGGAGGTGGGTCTGTGAGGAGCTGCACTTTAAAGAGGAGTGGAGGTGTTTTTACGTCCTGGCACCGCGTAGTAATCTAAAGTCAAATAGTGCCGTCTGTAGGGAGGAAACAAACAAAGTCCCGCGTCATGGCACGCAAAAACCTGAGAGGGTGTTTGTAAAACTGTCGGCTACGATAATAAAGGTTAGCCAGCAGTCGTAGCCTGCCAGCTGGTGTGTTCGGTTCAGTGGTGAGAGAAATTAGATCATAAACCTCGTTTCTATTTCATGAAGCTCTGTCTCTCTCTTTTTCAGATATCCAGTGAGTCAGGACTACAACCCACTGAGGGCTCATGTGAGAAGTCCTCTCTTCCTCGGTCACATCACATCAGTCTTTCAGGTCGCGTTCTCGCAGCACACCATTCACTTACAGCCGTTCACTGAGTGCTGTGTGTGTGTGTGTGTGTGTGTGTGTGTGCGTGTGCGTGTGCGTGTGTGTAAACAGCCGTGGTGGACATGATCCTGGACATGTCCAAAGAGGACAAATCCTTGAGCGACGCCATCACTCCCGTCAGCAGATGGTAAGTGTCAGACGGACGGACAGCTAGGTGGATAAAGAAAGAGATCACTGTGAGTGTGTGTGTGTGTGCGTGTGCGTGTGTGTGTGTGTGTGTGCGTGTGTGTGTGTGTGTAGGTCTCCACAAGAGGAGGCCCATCTACGAATGGAGTCTATTGCAGAGGAGAATGTGGAGATGCCCGAGGCTCAGACTGACGAGGACAGAGACATCCTTAGGTACTTTATTCAGTATACACACTACACACACACACACACCTAGGTTGACCATGATGATCCCAACAGTTATTAGAAGAGTCACCTTCATGTTTGACGTGGAAACTCTGCTGTAATGTGACATTGTGGATTCACTCGTGTGCGAGTCCGTTTCAACCACATCTCTTACTGCTACTGATGGTAACAAAGTATTGGAAGCATAATACGTAATATGCCTCTCTGTCTTCCAGTTGGATCTCCTCCAGCCTGCAGAGGTTTGGAGTAATCACCTTTGACTCTCTGGTGCCCCTAGAGGCCGACCGCACCACTGCAGCTCACACTCTCTACAAACTGCTGGGTGAGGAAACCACAAGCTGCTGTTTTCTTGTTCCTGTTCGTCACTGATGACTTGGAAATTGATTTCATGCAGACAGCAATAGAGATCTTAGGAATAAGGCTATTAGTGTTGAAATAAATCAATAGTAGGGACAGTTCATATATATTTCTGCATATGTAATAGCACTACAAGTAAGCCTTTAAGGCACTTTGATGCCAGCTCCAAAATATATATTCTATTTTATATACTGAGAGTTTTGCTCTCTTATCTCAGTAACAGTCAGTGAACTTTGTGATGGTGTTGATCTGTGACGTTCGTCTCTTCTTCAGAGCTGCTGTCTGCTCGACAGCTGACTGTCCAACAGACTAAACCCTTCAGTGACATCATCATAAACCCTGCAGCGCTCAGGATGACCGCCTGAACACACACACACACACACACACAGTTACTCACACTAAAGTGCCATTGAGGTACAGTTATGATTGTTTTGTTTTTTTAACTGATGAATATATTGAATGAATTTGATCTTTTATAGCTTCAACAACATATCAACGGGTTAAATGTTTTTATATGAATTGTTAAATTACTCAGAATGGTGAAACATTGAGCTGCGTTATGTTTGCAAGTGTTTTAATGATTTTTAACCATTTTAATCTGGGTATAATGTGTTCATATGGTTGTATTTTTTAATATTTTTACCCAATGAGTTTATTGTTACTGAATTTTTTAACATCTGGACGCAACATGTTTTGTTATACAGTTTGTATCTTCTGTAGGGATCTAATCCTTTATAATGATTTTAAATTAAGCTTTTTATGCTGTTTGCATCTGCTGTGTGATTTTTTGTAATTATTCTATTTTAACTTAAACTTTTAATAAAATGTTTTTTGCTCTGTAAAGCATACGATTATTCTTCCACACTCATAACATATTCATGCCTGATAAACTTCCCGTCATTATTAGAATATTACTTTAGTTATTTTCTATAACATAGTATTCTCCAATGTGAACTGTTCAAGAGTCACTGCAGTGTAAATACATGTAACTACTTGAGCCCACACTGAACTTTCTCGATAAATCCCAGAATAACGACACTGAACACGAAGCTTAAAGGTTTGTGGTTCTGGACCAAAAAAGAGTTTATTTAAAAAATAATCTGATTTAAGTTTGTGGTGCAGAAACCACTGAAATGTAGCTTGTAAGCATATCAGCACCTCCCTGCCTCCAACAGGACAGTATTGTGCCTCGCTGGCAGAAACCTCCCCCGGTGTGACCTCACGCCTCAATAGCTCCACACTATTAAAAGTGTTTGCCTGTTAAACACACTGTGGAGACTGCTGTGTGCGAGTGCACACGAGGGTAACACCACATTCCACGCGGCACCTCGTGACTGAGCTGAGGTCAGTGCTGCAGTCACAGCCGAAACCCTGCTTTGCATCGACGTGGTAGAATCTGTTGATGCCACTTGTGATACCTTCAGGTGACGGGGGAAATGTCCTTTACACTGCCGTGTAATGTTTTCATTAATAAAATGCATCATTTGAAAAATGTAGCTCCTTTATACGGGTACGACGAGAGAAAGGGTCAGGGGCTCATTAGTGAGGCCAAAATACCTTCGTGTTATTGGCACTGAACGTAAGGCGGGTGGTAAAAAATACCTTTGAAGGAATATAAGCTCTTGTATGAAGCGATCCAACAGGTCAATATATCAGATAACATACACTAAACATAAGCCGGGACCACACCACTGACATATGACTTGTCAAAAAGTTGCCTAATAACACATCCAGCAGACATGAAGCGACATAACAAGCATTCATCAGCATTGTAGTTCTGGTTGGAACCAATTTAATGAGCAGAGAATCCAACGTGTGCTTCCAGAAGCTGCCGCTCAGACAGCCGACCTCCCTTTGGCTCTATACATTCCCGAGCCTTTACATCATCTGCGTCCCTCCACAGTGCTGACGTAAGGAGGATTCATTGTGGCTGCCCACGGAATGTGACACGCCGAGTCCAGAGTACTAGTTTAGTGGGAAAAAATTCCTGCTGTACAGGACAGTGTACACAAACAAACACGCACACAGAGTCAGATCAAACATGTTTGTGTAAGTTTAGAGCAAGAACACTTTTCTTTTTTTTTCTTTTTTTCCCAAAAGCCGAAAATGTGATGCAAATGATCCGTGCGTCATCCTCCTGTTCACTGGATCGATCAGTATCTAACAGTAATAAACTGGTTGTCCATACTGACCCTGATGTGACCTCTTGGCACGTTGTTATGCGTTATGTCACCAAATGTTTGCATTACATACTAGTAATACATACTTACAATTCTAGTTCATAAAACATTCAGTTCTCTTGTTGTTTCTCCACAGACTGGAAGAGCACACATACCTCCTCTATTTACAGTTAAAACATGTCTACTTGGCCCGGTCGGCCTGATAATCCACAAAGACACCTGGCAGTGCAAACACCGCTGCCCGTCCATCACCACCCTGACAGCCTAATAAACCTAACATCGGAGTGTCACATAACACACATTCCCACCGGCTGCTTATATCAGAGAGCAAGTCTTGTGTGCATTCGACACACACTTTCCAGAGGCCTCCATCATCGGAAGAGGCAGAGCTCTGAATCACCAGCTCCAGAGGAGGAGAGCGGACCGGCCAGTGCAGAGACCGACCACCAGTCACAGAGACATAAAGCGCAGACGAGGGATACTTCACGTTCTTTTTGTTTGAGGTTCTGATCAGAGAGTCAAGCTGGCAGCGGACGAGACAAAAGGCCTGTCGGAGGAGGAGGGAGAGGCCAATGGGGAGCAAGCCAAAGGAGGACCGGACGGCCCAGCGGGCAGGGAGTCCCCCGGGATGGTGCGCGTCGAGCTGGAGTGGGCCATCCCCATGTCGGTGACGCTGCCCATGCAGGTGGAGCCCGACCCGGCCCACCAACCGTTCCCCTTCCTGGACACGACACTGGCCGATCTGGGCATCCAAGAGTGAGTCTGCTCTCAGTGTGAGGGGGTCTCAGGAGGCAATTTTCTGTTTAATAACTTGCGTGTGTGTGTGTGTGTGTGTGTCCAGGTCAGAGGTGAAGGAGAGGGTGGTGTGGGTTGACACCAAGAAGACTCAGATTAAGAACAGAAAAGGGAAGCTGAAGGAGAAAGAGATCACCATCCTCGAGGTGACGACCGTTTTGGTTTTCGTGTAAACCGAAGCACACAAAAGGACGATAGTGAAATAACAAGCGTGTGGTTTCTTCCTGTAGGTGAGAGTGAAAGCCCAGAAGCCTGGAGAGAAACAGCTCCAGGAGGTCCTGTACAGCACCGAGGCCCACACTGACCGCTCCTTCTGTCGCACAGGAATGAACATCGTACCCTGGAAACACATATGCACAGGTCTGTCTGGAAGTAGTTTAAATCAATCAACTCAATGTTTAACTCGTTTTTTTTTAATGCATCCTATGTTGCTGTTTCTGCCAGCTCTAAGGGTTTCTGGAGTCATTCTCTTTATCGATGTCTGTGTGAGCTCATAGTTCATCTTATAATGGAGGATCTATTTCTGTATGTGCATAAACCATGCCGCTAAAGTCACTCGGCTGTGCCACAGTGACCTCCCAGAGAACAGGTGAACTGTCAGACTGGTGTAGATCACAGCAATGTGTCGGCACCTCAGAGACTGAAATGAGATCATCGTAAACATTACACCAGAGTCCAGAGAACGCTTTAGACCTAAACACTGTCGGGGATTTGTGAAAAATCTGTTTGACTCGTCCCAATCAGTTCCTTTTCTTTATGCATAACAGAATGACAACTAATACTAAGAGATACTCATAATAAACATAGACCTAACTGTATCTTCTCAGTTGTGTTATGTGTGCTCATTCGTAAGGCTGTTCCGAGAGCTGTTACGAACGTGTGGTATTTATCCCTCTCGTCATTAGCACGTACTGATATATCTGTGTGGTTTAAGTGGCACATGCATTTTAAATAAAGCCCTCTCTGTGTGTCCGTCAGGGGAGACCAGACTGACTCCGGTGCAGATGACGATGGCATTGGACATGGAAGACAAGGAACCAAAATTGACTGATGCGCCGGGACAACGGGAGATCTGAGCAGCAACCATCACCGCCATCCAAAAACAGAGCGCAATCTAATGTGATTCAGCGAGCCAAGGCCACATTCTTTAAATCAATTTCAGATTCCAGGATGCTCGTTTGCATTTATTTAGAGAATTCAAAGCGTTGTCAGTTGCTCTTTCGGCAGTTAGGCGAGGTTGGATGGCTTGCCATTAACTGCAAGGCGAAACTTGCCAGCGTTGTAACATCACGTTCAATTTTGTAGCGTTTGTAAAAAAAAAAATAAATAAAATAAAAAAAACTCTTGCACTCGTCCAATGTGTGATGTAGGGTCCTGTTGAGTGGTTCTTAACGGGGCCGACCAGAAAGAGACAGACTGGTTAGTGCTGCACGCGGTCACAGGCTGAGCTGCTGCAGGCATTAACAGAGTGCATTGTGGGTAAAGTAAGTGCGGTTTTCTTTTGTGCGGCCTATTAGCTCAGTATGTCCAGTTAGTCAGTGACCTCTGTGGGGGCTTCACACAGCTTCAGTGTTGGCCCTTAGTAAGTAGCAGATACATCTCTGAGTTAGGAGAGACCGCATGAAGTTTAAAGTCCACAGACTTACACTGGGAGATTTCTACCAAAGAGCTACATTTATCAATTCATCGCTTCACACTCAAGATAGCAAAGCCAGAAGCTCGTCCAAACAGTAGCACTTTACAGGAGCAACAGGGGAACTAAATAAAATGGTAACAACACAGGATGGTAAACCGTAACCGTTTAGAAGAATAAAAGTTCAACATAGCAATAAATTAAAAGTGAATAGTCGGAGGCAAAACTGTCAAATAAAAATGTATTGTTTTCACATGAGAGTGGAAGGGTGAGTGTGGGCTATGAGGCAGAGATGGCCGCACTAAGTGTAGCCTGCTGCTCTCCAGGAAGGGAGGTCACAGAGGCTTGGAAGTCTGCAGAGTGGTGCTGGGCAAAGTCTTTCATCAGCACGGCCACAGTGTGCTGGGTTTCTGTGGAGGAGAGACAAAATAAGGAGTTTAGGGATGAGAGGAAAGCATTGAAGATGGATTAATAAAACGGCAATATTAGAAGAGAATGTTTGATAAGAACACAGTGCAGGAAAGGGTATGTTGTTGTGCATTCAGTTCAGTTTAAGTTGGAGCCTCTTTCAGTGCGATCTAAGAAAACCTGTTCCCAAAGAAATCTTCACCTTTATCAACATCCTTGTGGCCGAGGACATGACTGGACGCAGCAACTATGGGCTTCATCAGCTTCACCACCTGAAAGGGGAAAAAAAAAGATTAAAAGAAATAAGGCAACAATGTTTAATATCAGTATACTAAACTGTTTCCAAAGTCCAAAGTGTTTTAATCAAATGTTTGCCTCCTGTTGTCATCTTAATGTTTTAGAACTGTGTGATCTAGAGAGTTGAAACGTGCTGTATGCCTGTATATTGTGATGCAGTTATACTTTATAAAACATGTAACACATTATTGAAAGATTGGCCCGATTGTGGTTTATATGTTGGGGTCATTCCAAACACCTGAAAAGCTGCTCCGGCACCAATAATGTAGATTTAACACTTTGGTTGTTTTACTCAGAAAATCTCAGCATCATGACATATAAAGAGTTAAATCCTTGACTTAAATCCTTGAGAGACAAATTGTAATATAAATGTACCCGTGGTGTTAATGTCACCATAAATAAGCCTGATTATCCCATTCAACAAAAAATGTCCGATACTGTTTTCAGGCAGGCAGGATTCACATTATCCTGGACCACATATGGACAGTGGAGACAGACGCATACAGTATATCTTCCACACAGGGATGGTGATGCGTGGTGTAGATTATGTGTGTACCGTACCAGAGCAGGACTGTATGTGTAGAGCATAGCCAGGCAGCTGAACACCGTCTTGTTCTCCTCCAAGTCCTCTTTGAGGGGGAGACGACCCACCAGAGCAGGCACCACCTGTTAGAGAGCACATGTGGCGTTCGACTTCGTAATGAATTTAGTGCTGTCGGCAAAGGTTACTTGTGTCGGCTAAAAATACTCTCTCGTCAGGAGGGGTTCGAGCTGTGAATGTACCTGCTCAAGAGGGACCGCCTCCACGTTGCTCATGATCATCCTGCAGAGGGCAGCGCACAGGTTGTCAATCACCCTGAGGTCAGACTCTCTGGTCAGCATACTGGAAAACACAGACAGCATCATCGGATAGTCTCTGGAACACGCTTTGCTAAGGAACAGCTGCATGGGAATGTATTTATTTTGTTATGCAAGTATAAACAACAAACACACACACACACACACACACACACACACACACACACACACGTAAGAAGGATACGATGCACATATGGGTCCAGCTGCCTGGGCCAGACATCCCAGTCCGAACACGCTGTTGTTGCGAACCTCAGGATCACTGTCCCTCACTCCGGCTACCAGCACGGGAAGCAGACGATTGGACAGTCTGCCTGCCACTCCTTGGCCCCCGGACACGCCCACAAGCGCCTGCAGGATTTCCCCGATCGTACCCACGGAGAAGGACCGGTCGGCCACCGTGCACGAGGATTTCTTCAGAGGGAGAAAGAAAATGATTTAGTGTGACACATCAAAAAGGCGATACTTCGTGGCAATACACCATGGCTATACATCAAAGGATCAAGAGATACCATATAACCCAATATGGCGATTGATTTAGAAAGGGCTGATGGCCTGGCTGTAGTCAATAAGAAGGAGCCTTACAGATGTAAAGAACTTCACGAAACAGAAAGTAAGCAGTCAGGAGTCACAGTGTTACTAAAAGACAGGACTGGGATCATTTTGGGCTGAGAAAATTGAGTAATAAGTTTGAGTAAATAAGCCTTTTGTTGAACTCCAGTACTTGTCAGTAGGTCCAAACCCACCGCTTTGCTCATGAGGAGAGGCAGCAGGTCGTTGAGGAAAGGGGCGAAGGTGTCCGCGGGCACAGAAGAGGCCACGAGGGGAATTCCTTCCCCGGCAAACTCCTGGAGCATGGCGTCATACTCCGCCTGAGCAGAAATCAACAAACGGCACACTGAGCAAAGGGACAGTGAGGTGGGCAGGACATGGGCTTTTGGACAGAATGGGTTAAAAGCAGTATTTGATTCAATATCTATGTATTCTATCTTTATGTCTCAATACATAGAACTTTTGAAATTCGAACTGTATGTAGTTTAGTGAATCTATGTATTTGTGAGGGTTTACAGCTTAAAATTGATGCTCTTGCATTAATAGCGCTATATTATATAAATTCCCCATCATTGGAATAAACCAATTCATATTCATCAGCATATACAAAGAACTTGGATTTACGAATATGCGCTAATGTGGCGACAGTAGGCCACTGATATGTGGAGATGGACCTTTATGTCCATGACTGTGACTTCTATTTGCAGCAAGAGGCCAGCCAACCTGTTGGTCTTCATCATCAGCTTCATCACCACCGCCCTGACAAACAGTCTGAGCAGAGAGAAAACAATGATGGAGGGTTACTAGCACAACACCGAGGACATATCATGAATGTGAGATGATTTTTACCAAGTAAAGCCCTCTCCTCTTCCTCATCAGTCTCCCTGTGTCTCACCTTTTTCTTGAGCACATCAAGGATGACGCAGCTGATCTCCTTCAGGCGTGAAGGGGTTTTGAAAGCCTCCTCCTTGCAGGACTTCACGACGTTGTTCATGGTTTCCAGGATGGCCATCACAACCTGGCGCTCTTGCTCTGTTCGCACTGTTTCCACAAAGCAAGGAAGCACCACATCCAGCAGCTTCAGTAGGGCTGGGGGAGGGGAGGGGGGGGGGGGGGGAATTAAGTTACAATCAGCTGAAGGCGACTGATATCGGCATATTGATACCTGATCGACAGGCTTGAAAAAGACTACGTTAGCTGGCCTGTACGCGACTACGTTACTGTTTGCACTGGTGTATAATCTCACAGTATATTGTATGCTGAGGGAACTATGAGAAGAGAGGCTTTACCCTGGTGGTTGGCCTCAGTGGGATTCTCCTTCCACACTTGATGCTGAGCTCGACAAAACTGGCCCATCGCTCCAAATGCTGCCCTGCGGACGTCCTCGTGGGGGAACTATGAACGGAAAGAGGTGACGCACACGGAATGAGAGATTTATGGGCTGAGAAGAGAGAACAAGCACCTGCCATTCAGACGTGTTGTTCAACAAGACAACAATTCCATACTAGGACCAGTGGAACCAGTCTAAAGTTGATCCTCACAGATACAATGCTGTCATTATCAATCTACCTACAGACACTGACATTCATAAACAGAGACACAATGTATGCTCTGCACAAACACAGTCCGCAAAGTGCCCTTCACAGCACATTAGCCAGAGGTACTTACATCTCTCATCTCGTAAACCTGCTGGAAGCTGGACTCCAGGAAGGGCTGGAAGGCAGCGCTATCGGGGGAAACCACAGCAACACAGAATAAAATACACACACGTACGCACATGTGCAATGTCTGACAACGCTAGTACAACAAGCTTTTTGAGGACATACCGTAAAACATATACAATTAGATAGGAAAGGACATTTAAAACTATTCACCTACACCACCACCTAAATAACTGTGAATCGTCAGACAAAGAGAAATTAAAGAAGGGTCATATACATGCTAAGACTAGATTATGTTACCCGGTGCTGAAGGCAATCTCTCCCAATGCATCGCAGGCGTCCTCCTTCTCATCGATGTAGGAGTTTTCCACACTGAACCTTAAGATGGACAGACGTGATTATGAGACGAAGCGAGAGCAGTCTTTTGATCAGGTGTAGTAAATATACATGCACGCGTGTGACCCCCTTACCCTGCAAAATCATGGATATCTGCCTCAGGCTCGTCTTCCAGGAAATCATCCGCATCTTTTACTTCCACGTCTTCGTCGTCGTCGTCGTCGTCGTCGTCCTCATCGTCCAGCAGGACGAAGGTCTTGTCCTCCTCAACGTGTGCCTGAAGAGAGGACGGAGGAGGATGAAACGCTGTATAAGTGTGTATATTATGAATAGCCTGTAGGTTTCAGAGGGTTGTTTGTGAGCGTCATACCGTGATGCCCTCGTTGGACTTGAGAGCGAGCAGCATGACCGTTGTAATGGCAGTGAGGTGAGGAGTCAGGCAGTCCGGGCTGACTGTGGATACAGAGGAGTAGAGACTGTACCTGATGGTGCGGAGACACAAAGAGAGATGACGGTAAGGTTACAGGATCTATGCACAATTATGTATTCAAGTCTGTACAGAAGAAGACTTAAGGATTCTTATTCATTATGTTTGTTTCTGAGGACTTCACAATTTGTAATAGGCCTCATCTATAAATTGTGACAAGAGACAATTTGATTTCATGTATGTAATTTCATATATGCAACATTAATCTTGGCTGAAATAACAGGGCGAGGCAAATCCAGGCAGGTAAAATATTAATATTGACATGTAATGTATCCACCCTTTAAGTTCCTTTACAAACAAACAGAATGTACGCTAGCCTTTCATATTACATTCAGAGTTATAAGAAGGCTCCAATTATCAGAACGCCACAAGATGCAGGCTCCCTCATGTGGCTCACAGGTGTACTGCAGATATAAGTGTTAGATAAAAGACTATGGAAGCACTTTGGGAGTGACTACTTTAAACTAACAGACAGTTAGTGTGGACAGGTAAAAATAAAAATACTCCTAAATATTCAGACACACAAAGGTACATACGTGCAGCGTCTCAGGTCGGGATCATCGATGGCGTCGGTGAGGTTGAGGCCCAGCTGAACACACTCTGCAGCGAGAGGACTGAAGACATCTTTGCCGATGGTGCGGGCGAGCACAGAGAGAGTATCTAACAGCAACAGCACAAGAGGATCAACAGTCATTCATTCATGCTGAGTGAGATGCACATTTTGTTGCCATAACAGAGTAAAACAAAAACTACATTATCACAAGATGTTTGCAGAACAAGATGCCACCAGGGACATGTTCTAAATATACAAACATCACAACTTCTTGCTTTTCAAACCCCTGTGGTTCACCTACCCAAGGACTGAGTCTGCAGAGACCTCATTTCCTCTGTGGTGGCAGTCAGGAAGCCCTTCAGGCTTTCAATAACTGGAGGGAAGTAGGGAACCAACAGCTCCTTGGCAGCATTGGCTGAGAAGACAGTGATTCACAATGAGGCTCTGGTCACTTAGAGCCAAGCAGCAACAATCTGACGGATCTTTGACGGATTCCTACCTATGGCACCTATGGCAGACATAGCCAGCTCTTTGATCTTTAGGTTTTCAGCGTTGTTAAGAGCAGACAGCATGGTCTCCATCAGAGTCGGCAGGTAGGGCTCAATATCTGCTCCTGTTGAGACAAAAAGAGGAGATGAAGCATGAAGAAACAATGTTGGAAGACAAAAGCTTTGGTAAATCATTTAAATTGTAATCATGTCAAATGTATGATGGAACCTTTTTAATACCAAATCAACTGAATAACTCATATTAAACACAAGTTTGGATAATTGTATGTAGTTTATTAATTGTGTCAGAAAAGTTGATGTCTGGGGAAGTTTCATATTTCCTCTTGCAGAGGCCACGCTGTGTCAGTCATTGCATCAACATTTTTTAGCTCACCGAGATTCTCCATGAAGTTCTCGAGGGCATAAAAGGCCTTCGTGACATGGCCGACTTTGGCCTGGTTCAAGGACGAAAGGTAGCCCAGCAGCAACGGCATCAACTCTGCACAGTACTTGCTCACTTCAGGCTGGAAACAAAAGGTGGAAAACACAAAAAAAAAAAGACTAAATGTGACCATAATAATACTAATTATTGTAATAATAAAAAAAAAAAAAAAAAAAAAAAAAGCGTGTACCATTGAACATGTAGCTGTGTTTACTCACCTGTAAATGTTCAGAGAACTGTCCCAGAGCAAAAAGACTGGCACTGCGCACCACCTGGTTACTGTCAGAGAGACACTGGCACACCGTCTGCAGCACTGATGACAGCATCCTAACAGATACAGACAAGAGTGTGAATGTACTCAAATCTTGGGAATTGTTATTAGTCAGCCAACAGACCAATCCCAACAAAGAATATGGGTGTGCTATCATGAATAAATACATTCATTTTAAAAGAGAAAACTAAATATGAGGGGAACTTTTCAGATGACACCTGGACATACTTGGTGCGTATGTGGTCAGCACATCCTTCAGCTAGCACAGCCAGACACATGAGACCCCCTTTCCTCTCGTAGGGGTTCTCACTGGCGAGGGAGGCCTGGGTGAGGGGCATCTGAAACACATGACGTAATACATCGTCAACGAGCAGTAACCTAAGTCAGGTTATTTAAATGCACAATGCAGTATTAAAGATTCATCAAGAAAATTGAAAAAGAAAATTCACCGTAACGTTACATATCTGTTGTTGTTTACATGGACATCCAGAGGACTCACCAGTTGTTTAAACAGGATTTCTGGGGGCATATGGAGCGCCATAGTGTCAATAATCTGGAAGGACAAAAAAATACAATTCGTCAAGATTCATCTTCCTCACACCTCCACAGTAAATCCATTAAAGCTGTTGCCGAGTATATTTTCTTACACAACAGAAGGACACATTGCATATCAACACAACTTGTCCCAACCTGAGCAGCACAGTGTTTGGGATTGTCATTGTCTGTGCCTTCTCCGCTGTCGTCCTCCTCGTCCTCTGGGTCCTGCTCACCAGGAGGCGGAGCTGCGTTCAGCACAGGGAAAATGGACTGCAGGATGGGGTTCAGCAGCTTCTGCTTCAGCACAGTCTACCGAGCAGTGGAAATGACGAGGATTTATTTTTATGCATTCAATGTACTGTAACAGAGCAGAACACTTGTTTGTGGTCAAGCTAGCTGACACTGCATGTAATTAGCCAGAAACTAAGAATTGTGTTACGGTCTGCTACAACTATCTGTGCATAGAAAACGTAACCTTTGGTAAATGTCGATAAAGAATCAAAACAAGACTGACTGAGGGACATCTGTCCAGGATCTCCTCTGAAGAATAATAAACCCAGAAGGATTGTGGTACACCGAGACTACAGATACTTGTTGTCCTGTTCTTGATATGACAGTTCCAGGTATTTCTGTATATTAGCTGATAGGTGACTTTACCTTGCTCTTCAGCTTGATGAGGAAGGCAATACAAGAAAGGGCTTTCACCCGCAGAGAGTCACTCAGTGTGGTGTCACTGCCCACCTGACACAAACATAGATATTAAATATATGTTATTGGAATTCTCAGATGACAAACATTATTTGTTAGTTCTGAAAATGAAAGGAAATTCATAACACAAGAGTAGGGAGGAGAGACAGAATTCAGACATTAGGTTCCCACCTCCAAGCAGAAGCGGACGATGTCGGCAACATGAGAGACGATGATGGACACCTCGCTCTCCATGAGCTCATTTAACACCTCCATGGCCTCGCTTGCTTGGCCCTGTGCAGACACAGACAAACCCCCATAATTAGACTTAAATACACTTAGCTGACAACCGCAATGCTTGTTAAATGTCTTCAACATATTACAGCTTACCTGATCTGCCTTGATGAGGTGTTGCAGAGCGACCATCAGACTTGGGATGATAGAACGCATCTGGTTCTGTAGGGCAGCAACATGTCACTTAGTCATTAAAAAGTGCATAAATATATATCCCCATCTGTAATGGTTTAATTGTCTATATACCATTAGAAATGCCAAATGTCAAAGTTAAAGCGTTAACAATGCCTCACCATCTCTTTTGTGCCGGTGTATGCAGTTATGGCCGTGAGGGTGAGGATGCAGTAGTACAAGGCCGTAGGGTTGTTGTGGTCCTGCAGCACAGTACTAAACAGCTGGAGCAGCTGGCAGTAGTGAGGCTTGAAAGGCTCAGGATTGGACTCCATCACCTTATTCAGCAGCAGGAGGCCAACCTGTTAGCAAAGAAGAGCATTGATTTGCCGTTATTGACAAAGATCACGTAATACGATATAACCGGAGACTGAGGTATTTTAACAACTCTACACAAAGGAGTCCCGTACCCGTCTGTCATGAGGGTTGCTGCTCTTGGTGGATTCATTGAGTAGCTGCAGCAGGGCAGGCCAGCGGTCTGGTGTCTCATGTTTAACCATCACTGCGCACAGTTGGGAGAGTGAGTGCTGCACTGTGTGCCTGCAAAATACAGATAGACAGACATATGCATAGAGTTCAGGCTCATTCATACATTACATTTCACATGTGTACGGCTACACGTGGCCAAACACACTTTACGTAACCTTGTATGCGTGTCAAGTGTCATTTAGAAGACATGAAATCTCAGTCATTTAAGACACAGCGTGTTATTATTGTATTAACGGATTACTGCTTACTCCGTTTCCTGCATGAAGACCTGCAACACCACGGCCTTTAGGCTGCATGAATGAAGACAAACATCACAATTACAAATTAATTTTCACTATAACAATTGTTAGGATAGTGTGAAAAGTTGCAATGAAAAGAAATGAGCGAACCTCTCTCTATCATCGGGGCTGATCTTCTTCCAGTGTTTCTTCACTCTCAACCTCAGCATCACTGCAGCTGACTGACGGATCTAAGAGGTCCAATCAGGAAAAAGATGTCAGGTAGTTTGTATAGATGAAAGCACATCATCATTCTGGAAATTATACTGATCCCAGAGGATAAAACAACCATTCTCTCACTGCTCTCTCCCCCCGCACACAAACACAATACCTGAGGGTTTTGGGAGCCGCTCATGACAGCACACAGGGCCGGTATAATGGCCGGGTCTTTGAAAGCCTGTTTCAGCTGGGCGGTGGCCTAACAGGGGACAAAAGAGGTCTCACTTAGACCGGCTGTGCCACAAATAGCTGTCACAGTATTGTAGAAATCACAGGGCACCAACAATGAATGCTAACTCGAACAAAGTTATCCGAGGCGTTACCTGCTGAATGACAGCATTGTCAGGCTGAGTCAGCTGTGAAAGGATTTTCTCAAGTTCCTCTGCCATCTCGCCAGCTCAGAGCTACCACCTTCAGTTAACCGTTAAATTAATATTTCTGAATAAACCAGGCAAGTTGTCCTTTCGCGGTGTGGTATGCTACGGCTGTCAAGTGTGTAAACAGAGCCCTCTGTGGGCCGGTCTAATCAAAAGCTACCGCTTTTCCCGTGAGAATTCACTTTAAAAAATAACGGTATAAAAGTTATCAAGCCGAATGGCGAGTGTGACAGATTGGTGCCGCTCGGTCTAGTCCGTTAAGGGGATTCAACTGCCAGCACGCGGGGCCGAACCAGCCAGGAGTTCCATGTGAGTTGAGTTAAAGGGACCGGCAGCGATCCGCGTGCATTAAAGCTGAGAGAAACAAACAGCGCCCCCAGCGGGAGAGGAGGGCACAGTGCAACTCGAAAATCAGTGGCATTGCAACATGATAGAAAGTAATTTAGTATATGTATGGAGCATGTGCAACTTTGAGACACTTGTATACTACCTTAATAATTCAATGTTATGCTGCTTTATATTTATATTCCTGCTAAAAAGCATACCTTCATGAAGGTTATAATGTTCAGTCTGGTCATTTTGGAGGATGTAGGCCGAGCTAGTAGGCTAGTTTGTGGTGCTGTGATGCTATAATTGAGGTCATTTAGATGCAAACTTTCTACGTAGTATGTTTACCAGAAAGAATGGAACAGTTTATTTTTTAATATGTAAAACCCACAGGATTCTGATAAAAAACAATATCTGCTATGTGTTTATGTACAAAATTGAAAATCAGCTGATATATTGTTATCTCAAAATTCAATACTGGCCCCTATATGCTCCAAAATGAGTAGTAAGACTATAATGATTAAAATATAGACATATATATATATATATATATATATATACACCATTTGTTTTTGACCAGCTACACCATTAAAGGGATATTTAGGAACATTTAGTTTATAATACTTTTACTAAAGTCAATTTTTTAATGCAGGGCTTTCAGTTGTAATCAAGTGTTTTTCTTTTCTGGTATTACTACTTTTACATAAGTAAAGGACCTGAATAGTACTTCTTCCACAACTGAAATAAAAACATACAATTACTGATTAAAATACTGAGAAGGATTGCATGAACAGTGCCTTGTGGTTGCAGTTGGGAGAAGGTGGTCCCATAAGAGATCATTTGCACACTTTTCAGACAACAAAAGAGATGCTCGTGGTCTCACACTTCACTGAAAACACACGGTCAGTCACTAATCTGTACGACACAAGAAAGTAATCATGTAACTTCAGGACAGAAAGAGGTCAAATTCAGCTTTAGTTTGGTAGATATAACGCCTACGGGGTAATCCGTATTTACTGTTACAGTTTAATTACAGGAGGGAAAGAAAATCTTCCAAGGTTTATGTGGGGCAAAACAAAAGATTTGCAGTCAAACCATAATTGAGTAAAAGGATTGTGTTCCAATGCATGCATACTCTAGCTTGTACACCCTTTCTCACAGCAGCAGCAGCGCCTCACATATACACTTGCAAAACACAGTCCAGCATGCCTGGTCATCAAAGGCAAATCACTTCCACATACCAATGCTAATCAATGCACACCGGTTCACCCACCTCCCCCGATACACACCTACACCAGCAACCCCCCCTCCTGTATGTCTTGGCTCAGACAAACACACCCTGTCCAGGCAGAGATCAGTAGAAATGCAAATATGCAATTAGGCTCACTGTTCTCATGTCATTTCATCACTAACTGAACCATTACCATGTCAATGCAGCCAGGGAGGGGGGAACACAAACAACCACCTGGAAGGTAACTGGCGGCTAACCAACATCATCTTTGTGAAAAGGATTGCTAATGAGGGCTAAAGCAGTTCACGTCAACATGTCCAACCTGCTGTACAGATTAGGGGGGTGGGGGGATTTGAAGGTAAAGGCTCTGTCTCTGAACACTTGCATTCAAAGTGCAGAAATGAAAGAATCTTTTAAATCATGAGACTACATGTGTTACACCTCACATGCAGCACTTTTAAACTACATATTCTGTTGAATACATTTGATTAAGTGGCTCCACTGCCTTAGATTTCTCTTTGAATTTCTCAATAATTAACAATCACTCTGACTCACAAGTATTAGCGGTTCATAAACTATTCATGCTTGAGACCAAGATACTATATTTAGTCTATTGATCTGGGACTAATGCTCGTGAAAACATTATTAGTTATGCCATTTGGGAAGTCGAATCGTGTCCATGGTTTAAAAAGCACTGAATCCTTATGTGCTTACAAGGCCGCTTGGAAATGTTATTTACTACACTATTTAGATTGTGTTTTTTTGTCACTAAGTTATGTCTTGTTAACCTGCTTGGTACAAAACCTTTCTACTTGTAGATATCTTGCTGCACAATGTTTTCATCCAGACAGGGAAACTTGTTTTGTAAACCAATCAAAATAAAAAATATATTTTCCTGAACTGCAAAGTGAGTTGCAACACCGCCCTTTCCTCATTGGGGAGGTACAAGATGCTTCTGATAGCTGAAGGTGTGCTCCTGAAACAAAACACCACCAGCAGTAACTATCTGAGGTTCAAAAGTATTGTTCAGAGACACATCTCTTAAGTGCAAACACTAGATTCGGACCAAACAATCGAGAGGATTCAGTCACAAGGTAATTGTGAGTAGTTTGATTAAACACAAATCATAAATAAGAATTTAGGAGTATACATAATCTAAACACATATCAGCTGAAACAATGAAAAAAGATGTGGACACACAATCACTCTTTAACACCGGGCCTCAAGATTAGTGAGATTAATTACCGTGCAAGCTTATATTGTGCTTGAGTAGTGCATATTCATTTTACCAGACAAAGTTACATTTAAAGGATGACCACGAATCAATTCTGACACAATGTCAGTCTAATCCACAAAAACATGTGTGTAACACTGTGTGACATTTACACTGACTGAACTGTGGTGTTGGGACACCACTCACCAAATATAAAGTAATTCCAGATATTCAGTGTATCTATAATCTTTAAAATATAAACTTTTAATATCGGTAGAGATTGGTGACAGTGTAAAAGGAGTGGGCTACTTCGTTAGGCGTAGCGTTAACCCAGGTGGCCAATAAAATGCCATTACTGTCAGGTGAATTAAAGAGATTGGCTCACATAATCAAAACACCCACCTACGTCCCTGCCCACACCCACCAGCGTCACTATAAACATCCTCTGAGGAGCAACGCGCAATTTTTAATCTGAGTCGGCACGCTAGTTGAAACTGGGCGGCTCCGAGTTTACAGCTGTCTCTTCACATCTACGGGACTGTCCTGCTCTCAATTTTAAGCTATTTTAGGCTCTAATACTTGAACTTCTCTTTTAATTAGTTTTATTTTTGTGGAGTTTAAAAAAAGCATTTTTATCGCGACGCACCAAAATACAGAGAAATGGCAGACTGGAAGGCACAGATCAGTTACAACTACAACCCCTCGTACCACGCCTACGCGTACGGCCTCGTGTATCAACCCGGACCGGAGCAAAGCCACGGAAACTTGACCACCTGGGGCGAAGCTGGGGTGACTGATTTGAGCAACTACAACGCCGGAGTGACCCAGGCTTACTACGCCACCACCCAGAGGACCAGGGAAGAGTCGCCACCCCACAGTCCGGAGCAGCACGCCGTGAGCGGCCACGGTCACTACCAGGGCTCCGGGGTGGTCTACCTCGGTGACAGCCAGCAGGCGGGCCGTCTGGTGCTGGCCGGACCTCACCGGGCTGCTGTGTACGATGGACGGACGCAGGAGGCCAGGCGGGCCGGAAGCGATTCGACCAGTGACTCGGAGGCACACACCTCACCAAGTAAGTGTTTCTAGCTAACGTGTTGAGCTAAGCTAGCATTTTTCAAAGACGCTAATGTTGGCAGAGGAGGTCAGCGGACCTCCCTGGCGTTATTTGAACACTCAATATAGACCGTAACTGTTAAGCTTTGAGTCGGTGCTTACATTGCTCCATTGGCCGCCAAAGGCGACGATTTCTTCCGCCAGAGTTGACCATGGCGTCCAATCCAGTTCCATCTTGATTTGAAAACAGTTTACAAAATATCCCGCCACTGAGTATATCAGTGCCGGTGGAAAAGCAGTGGCGACATCTCGCGATAGAATGCGAGAATTGAAAAAATTTGTTTACATTATTTTTTGTTTTACTGTTGCACAAGATGTTCTCTTATACAGTTAAACAACAAACTTAATCTCTTAACTTAAGTATTGTCCTTGCAACATTTATGCCAATAAAGCATATTGACTTGAACTAAATCTGATGTTTTGTTAAATGCTCTGATCCACGTTGACCCTGTAGCTCACTCTGACCACCATTTGTCCCTCCCTTCTCTTAGATTCATGGAGTTCTGGCAGCAGCAGAGAAGGAAGTCTCCCCCAGACAGACCCGGCCACCTGGGTGAAGTCCAAGGAGCTTAACGACGAGGCAAGGGGCAGGAGCCCCGATCCCAGCGAGGTGGTCTCCGGCTCTCAAGTGGAGGAGCCGGGGACCTTCGCCGTCGGTGGGAACGAGGACACCAACAACACTACCTCTCTACAGGTACCGTCAACTGCCCCAAAGAAGCAATGTGCTGCTGTAAACACCCCGAAGGGAAAGGTGCGGGCAGCCTTCTCGGAGAGTCAGATGAATGCTCTTGTCCAGCGCTTCAGTGTTCAGAGGTACCTCACCCCGGCTGAAATGAAGAACCTGGCAGAACTGACGGGACTGACCTACAAACAGGTGAGGGATTTGAGATGGTTATTTGACCACAACCACAGCAACGTGTCTGTGCGCTTTCTGATCGGATCTCCTGTATCTCATTTGTAGGTCAAGACTTGGTTTCAGAACCGAAGGATGAAGCTAAGGAGGCACCAGAAAGAAACCAGCTGGGTGTCTGAGCGCTATAACAAAGGCAGCCCGCTACGTGGAACCATGTACCCAAACGTTCCCTCACACATGCCACCTGTAAGTAGCTCGTTGCTTGCTCAAATGGTAAAGGCAGATAAAATCAGACCGTTGTCCTGCTCAGGTTTCCTGTTAACTGATAACAAAGAAACAGCAGCTTGGACATAGAACAAGTCGTCCATAATGGAGGCCTAATCATAGTCAGATTGTGGCCTTAAAGGCGAGACGAAACACAACAAAATTAGCTACCTTTTGACTGAATTCAATACTAATTCGAGCCACTTCTTTCAGTATCAGGGAGAAGTCCGGCCCCAGCTCAAGGAGCATTACAACCAGCACATGGAGGCGGCCTTCAAGAAGACGACCCCCCAGAACATGGCCTTCTATCTGACTGCTATGGGCTCTGCTGCTGGATCTGCTGGCTACCCCTCCTGGTCCCCCGGCTCGTCCCAGGCCGCAATGCCCTCCAGGCCCCAGATGGCTGGCTGGTCCGTGCCCCCTGGTGGCAGCCACTATGAATACAACCCCAACGTATTCCACTCAGCCAGCGGCACATCGGCAAATGACGCCCGACAGGACACGAGCTTAGACTGCAAAGATGGGGAGCCCTTGAACACGGCCATGGTGAACAATTGCAGCCAGTAGTCCATGTGGAGCTGCTCAGCTTATAAGCTTTTCTGTAAAAGTTACCCAGCCGTTGTGTTTGTTAATCACGTTTCCTGACTGTTCGTAGTTGAGGTCATTTTTGCATGGCTGGGTGTACATAAGCCTTGTTCATACTCCTGTTCAAAAGTAGTTTCCCTTTTTGACTTTATACCTTTATTTTTATATGCAACTATTTAATGTATGTTCGTGTGTGTTCTTTGCGCTTCGTGATACAAGATGCAGCCAAGTTGGTTGCATTCATTGGATTATGTTGGGTGTTTTTTTTGGAACCCTTTTTAAGGCAAAGTACTGATACAGATCTGATGTGCACGCATACTTTTTCTATAAATACAGGTTCGCTTGGCAACCGTGTTTTTTGAGTGCATGGCATTAACATTTAGGTATTGCTATTTTTTTATTCATTAATAAGTGCTTGATGTAACTGCAGTTTTTGGAAAAATGTTTAATACGCAAGCATCAAAACTAATGAGGCAGTATGTCAACATTGGCAATAACACACCTGGAAGCTGGACTATAAATGAAACATTTTTGGTGAATGTAATACACATTTGGCTGTACAGGAAGTTTGGACCCTTATAAAAGAATGCAAGGAAAAATAAAATCACCCCAGAGTTGTTTGCTGGCAATATTGTATTAAAAGTATTTTATTGAAAAGACTATTTACATCAGAAACTCAGTCAATGGTGACAAGAGTACAATAACAATATTGCTACCATCAAAATGCTCTTTACTCTACAACGCATCATCCCTCTTACTCACTGCAGGGCCCTGTGGAGCTTCACAGGGCCAGTGCAAAACATGTTTTATATTCTGTTTGAATATTGTGAGCAGGGGGGAGTATAATGACAAGTAAATAACACTTTCACTGCTGCAGCAATAATCCAAACTACTGTATGAGTCAGCTGTCTCGGTGGGTAACTGGTGTAATGTGGGAAATAAAGGCTAGATCCTGCCAAGCCTCAATGTACCATGAAGTAGGACTTGGAGCAGTGGACGGCACACTCCATCATACAATGATTACATCCATTCACTGACATCTCATACATTTTACCCAGCCACTCTCTAATGAACTCCCTTTGTACCAAAATATCCCATTTAATCCTTAAATACAAGGTAAGTCCAACCAACGATCCTTTATTACAATGACAGCTCTAGTTCAATCCTGTCAAATAAAGGTAAAGGCCCATGTGTCTCCTCCCTCATTAGAGATGTGTGTGTTATGTATGACTGAAAGCAAAAGAGGATAATGAGGATGTGTGCTATGAGGAAGTGTTTGTTTATCTCTGCGTGTCTAGTCCATCTTGAGGCTCCGGTAGATGTAGCGAATGAACGCCAGCGAGGCCCAGAACGACACGCTGCCCAGCATCAGGGAGAAGACCATCGCCGTGAGCAGAGAGTAGCCGAAGAACTCGGTGCTCTGCACCAGGCCGCTCATAGACGACCGGTTCCGGTAGTAGAAGACGGAGTACACAAAGATGAAGAGGCCGGTGGAGCCGGTGCTCAGGACGCTCCGCCACCACCACCGGTGGTCCTCGCCCGACAACAGGAAGTAGGTGAGCGCGACCGAGATGCAGGCGCCCACTGAGAGGAGGATGGCGAAGACGCACAGCAGGATGCCGTACAGGGTGTAGTACTCTCTGCCCCAAACCGTGGCGAAGATGTAGTACAGCTCCACTGAGATGGCACTGAGGGAGGACATTGATAGGAAGGAGGAATGAGTGTGTAGAAAATGGCATTCAATAGGCTGTACTTACAACATTTACTTTTTCCCCCATCCGGTGGATGAATCCTAATAAAAGGAATTGTGGGCGCTTACTCATCAGTCAAGATGACACAACAGTGTAACAAACATTTACATGTATAGATTTCACTCATTATCCAAACCACTCTGGGCATAAATAATACAAAAGTTAAGTTACAGAACACAAATATAAATGATAATTTAATTCTTTGACAATTAAATTTCCTACATTTCAATTCTTCACATAAACATTTTAATATATAAATACTGAACAATTCATATTAACTGTTGAATAAAGATTTGGAGTGAAGCTCTTTTTTTAATCTTAATCTTATATTTAATCCATTCACTTCTCTGCTTTATGACTATGAAGAGGCGGGACTTAATGTCATTGAATTCCCCCTTTGATCGAAGCACCTCTTTTCCACACATGAAGACACCTCACCTGAATGGCAGGAAGCCGCCGATGGCCATGTGCACAGCCGTGTGTTTGTACCAGGGCTGTGTCGGGATCTGCCGGGCGATGTTGCGGGTGCGACAGGGTGCCTGGAAGCTGCCGGCTCGGTTCTTTCCCACAATGCCGCCGATGACGGTGAGCGGGAAGCCCACCAGCACCCAGGCACCCAGAATGAGGAGCACGGTGGTGGCCGGCAGAGCCTGAGTAGAGCCGCTCCACCAGTGGATCGAGTTCACAACACTCCACGTCAGGAACAGAGGAGCTGTGGGAATGAAGGACGGCCATTGTTCTAAATCATTCCAGATCATTCTTTGAGAAAACGTGCCTCAGAGTATTTGTTAGAAATGTTTTAAATGATGAAAACATAATGAGATACAGCTGTTTAATGACTAAATGAGACCACGTTTTATGTGCCAGGGGGCATATTCTCTTTTCAAACAACTTCCTGAACCTGGAAACAGTGCAACTGCAAAGTGTGACTGCATAATAGATAAATAAATACATTATTAACCAAGTAGAATATCATTGTCACATTGTACAGAACACTAATGAAGACTGACATAATACACTAGCGGTGCCCTTACCTATCCAGCTTGTTCCTTTAGAAAGGACACTATGAAAATCTATAAAAGCTTTAAAAGCTATTAGGCCTGTGTGAAATAAATCCAGTTTCTCTTCTAAATGTTAAAAGCAAAGGCAAAACCTCAATTGAGACAGGAGGAAATTAAGGAGAAACTAACCATGGATGCATGGATAGATATATAACCATCAAGCTATTGGCGGTGAGGAGATCGTCTGAATCCATTACAGGCAAATTCAGTGAAGTTGTTTCACACTTCAGTACAAGTTCTCTATGAACTTTCCCGCCCTGCCGCTCTTACACACACACACACACACACACACACACACACACAGACACACACAGTGTGCAGTGATCCCACAACCTTCGTATCGCACTCACCGGAGAAGAGCGACGAGGTGAGGATGATGTTCCACACCCAGCGCTGGCCGTTGATCTGCGTGTAGAAGCTACAGGACACGTAGCCGGACACACAGCTGGTCAGAGCGTACAGCACGATAGCTGTGGAGTTGATGGAGCCATGGCGATGCACATTGAACATCCCCAGCAATGCCATTAAGATGATTCCTATCGCAATCAGGAGACATTTGAGTGATTAGACTCCTGTAGTAGTACAAAAACTCAGAACTAGTCCGCTCAAGTTTCAAACAGGAACAATGGCAGTCGCTGACACCGTTTTGGATTTTAACAGCCCTGCATGTGTCCACGTTGAGCCGCTGTGTTTGGGTGTATTTGAGAATGCATGCTCACCTGTGGCAAGGGTAAGGAACTGAGCACCCACTCCCAGCACGGCACACAGCAGGCTTTTGTATGGGGGAAACCTGAAGACATCCGTGTGTATGATCTTCCAGCCATTATCTCCCTGATCCAGATCATCACAGCCGCCCTCTTCCTCCACGTTGTACCTGCAGGTGAAGGAAAAAAACGGGTTCACCAACGATGTCATCATGTAGGAGTCACCCCACAAGTTTCTGCTTAGTTCCAGGTGAAAGTGCATCTCTGGTCCATAAGGGCTGGGGTGAATCATCACAAGACACAGAGTGCACAAATAAAAGCTCAAACCATCTCAATGTTGTGTAACCTTGTACACTCTATTTCAGGAGCGCTACACATATGCAGGAACGAAGATGTCTGAGGGGAAGCCCGTCTTCTGTTTGCAAGTAAAGAACATCTAAACTACCCGGTACCCACACTCAGACTTATGTATAGTTTACAGCGTTATGCTGTAAAGATTGATTTTCTGTTGGTTGACTAATCTGCTATTGCATTGTAAACAAATAAAACCTCTGGTAACTATGTTCAAGATAGTTCAACAGGTTTTTAGGTTTTTGCTCCAAGATTATATTTAACACACAAAGTGATACTGGTTTGTTCTCCAGTATAAACTTTCATATTAAAGACAGTTTCCCATACATTGGCCCAGACATAACCTTGATTCATTTCCCTGACTGACCTGGCAAAGTCATTCTTCAGGACCCGCATGAGGATGATGATGACGAAGCCCAGCAGCAGCACCACCAGCACCAGCGAGTTAATAATGGAGAGCCAGTGGATCTCCAGCGTTTTGGGGAAGAACGAGTAGTCTCGGAGACGCTCGGCTCTCCGGCCGTGAGGCAGAGTGGACTCGAACCAGCGCACGCTGTAGGTGTGGGTGACCGTCAGGCTGCCTCCACCCACCCCGACTCCACCCACCGCTGCACCCGCCCCCTCCTCCAGGGGAACAGGTTTGACGTCTTTCACTGAAACATTGGCGAAGATCACAGAGTCGCCGTTGTACTCGATGTTGAAGTCGAGGTGGGTCCACAAACCCACCTGGTGGAGGGGAGAGAAGAAGGCGGGGACACAGACGCAGCGGGAACACAAGAGAGACAAAAGAGAAAAAGAAAGAGGGGAGGGGGGGGGGAGATAAGAAGAATAACACGGATTGGGGTTTCAGCTGAAACAGGAGCTTTGCATGAAGATAAAAGCTTAGACAGTCTTTCTATCTTCCTCTTTGTTTCCCTCATATAATCCAACATACGACACATATTACACAAAGTCCTCGGGAGCGCCAATAGGTTTACCTTGTGGCTGTGAGGCAGGAAGCCGCTCTCCTCTATGTATCCCACAAACCCCCAGATTGGAATGTCATCCAGGACAAATTCAAAGTAGAACAGCTCCTCGATGGCCTCACGAAGTTCGTCCACCTGACGCACACAGAACATATCCAGGATCACACCCCGTGTGTTCTTAAGGGCCACGGCCTTATTATTCTTAAACTACATCACAATAGACTGGCATACTCAAGAGAACCACTTTCTGAGGAAATGTTAAGCAATGATAACCATCAAAAGGTAGTTTCATAAAAGGGTCGTTGTCTTGCAACATCTACCACATTGTGATCAATTGACATACAGTAGTTTCAATTCAAGTTCAAGCTATTTAATGAATGGTAAAGAGTTTAAATCTACCATGTGCGCAGAGTATTGAAGCTTAACCATAGACATCTGATAGTACACAGTGTTAAGTTCAAACTATCCCGGCCTTGTGTAAATAAATACCTGTTTCTCTGAAAGTGTGAGCTTGCAAAGGGTCTTTTTCTCCACGTTCTCTTTGAATCGGATGTAATATATTGACTCTGCCATCCTGTCACCGTCCAACACTTCTCCCAGACTCAGGGACTTGTGGTGCACCTGAAGAAGAAGAAGCGTTACAATATGATCAACAGAGCCTTAAGAAGCAGCACAAAGCACGAGTTGGTCACAAGTAGAAGTTGAAGTACCATAACGGTGGGTAATAAGTTACTGCTGTTGTAAATTTGGGTCTCACTGCCACCAACCGCACTTTGACTAATTACTTTTCTTCAAGGCCATGAGTCATTTATTAATAAACCCTAAACAAAAGGGAAAATTTCTCAACAGCAAAACATGATATACTTTATATAACCTGGGTATATTATTTCAAGTGTCGAAAATTTGATTTAACACATTTCTATAGCAAATTAACACCAATTTCTCTTCCTGTAAAAGGTTCATTTTTTTCATTCTGTATTCATTGAAATGGGTTAATAGATTTTGTGACACTCCAACCTAGGCCTCTTCAATGAAGTCCCCCCAAAAAAGTCTCAAATAAAGTCCCTCCCAAAGGAAACGCATGCACACAGGAACCACCGCTATTCCAAAAAGTGATCTTATGACAACATCTACAGTGCGTTTCAGATAAAAGACTGTGTCATCCTTACATACGTGACTACATTTAGCATGACAAAATAATCTCCAGTTTCTTTGTGGACTTCAGAACAGTGAAACAGAACAAAAACACTGACCTTCTCGGGCCTGCAAACAGGCAGGGTGTAGTAGTGATATGTCTCCTGGGGGTTATGATAAGGGCCCACTTTGTTGACATAGAGAGTCACGTTGTCCCCCTGCTTGTAGCCCACTGCCCAGCCTGAGAACAAGCACAGGATCAAGACGCAGTGCAGGCCCATCGTCCTCTGGCAGCCACCTGGCAGGTGTCCTGTTCCGCACTGCATAACCTCTGCTGCAAAGATCGGACAGTTCGTGAGGGTCAGCAGGTGTGATTTAAACCAAGACGGTCTGTCCTGTGACTTAAAAGTATGCCTCTTGTATAAAGTCGTGCCAGTTAGATCCGATGAGTTATGTGAGTTATGCAACGTCACTCCCTCAACATTTTACCAAAGGCAGCGGAGAACTGAGACACTGTAACCGCCATGAGTTGCAATGTATTTCATCAGTTGGATCAGTCGAAGGGGGGGGATTTCAACAGAATTAAAGAATTAAATGAGCCCCGTCGGCTTTTATCCGTCTGTTATGAGTTTCTGAGACACAAACTGACATTTCCCAAAAATGTTATTTTGTTAATACTGCAAGGGTCTCCTTAGAATTCCTGAGTGGGATGTTGCTTTCAATTTGAATATGTATTGGAAACATATTGTGTCCACAGCATGCTAAACTCACATGCTAATATTCATTAGCAGCATATTTTGAAAGGGAAACGATGATGTTGCAGTAGAGTGTGATGCTACAGTGCTATTGGTCATTTTTATTTATTTTAGGAAAGTCCTGTATTAGCAGCAAGTAGGCCAACTTATTCAAAACTGATGACCTATCATTCTATGTATTTAAAGAATTAATTTAGCCTGTCCCCAACCTCACAAAGCACAGCCGGTCTCATCACTTCTGGGCTGTATAATTAGAGAATATAAGAGTTTGATCCAAAGTCAGAACTGATGTAGCATCTACTGGTGAAATTTCACAGCGATGCAACATGCACCGGATGTCTGTATGCTGCAGTTTTAATGCAATTACAATCCAGATGATAACCATTTCTGTTCTGTGTTGTGCATCCACATGCTGACTCACTGTTAACATGGAGGACAAAGTTAGACTGTTGTTCTTTCTGACCAGAGTTGGCACTGGCCTGGGTATGCTCTCTGTGGAGAATCAGCTGAAAAGGGGAAGTCTCAAGAAGCCTCCACTTGTCAATGATCTTCTGTTATGCCCCCTATACCTATGTTTCCCCCCCTAACCCTGTAAGTCTATAGACAGGATTTAACAAAAAACTATATCAGCTGGACCAGTGACAACAGCAGTAACAACTGATGACTTTAGCCAAACCAGCCGTGCTTTTATAAACTCTTTGTACTAACATCTAGTGAGTTAGCTAATAGCTAAATTGACTATTTCCTACTGCACTGCAACTCCTACGTGTCTGGCAGTATCCATGTAAATAGACGTGAAAGTACATGAAGGGCCTCACTGATTCATGAAAAACAAACAACTTATCTCCATCAACGCTGCTTATTTCCAAAGAGGCACGGTGCATTTTCGTGTTCAGGCCTGACTCACAAAGACAGAGAAAGACTACAGGCAAGAAGTTAGAAAAATCTGCGCTACCGGTATGGCTGCTCCTTCAGTTGAGATGCTGCAAAACCCGTCTGTCCACCGTATCCCTCGGACTCCAGGCCCCGACAGTCCCCTCTCCGCTCCGATGTGCGCCGATGCTGGAGCTCAATGTAAAGACTGAACGCCACAGCTAAACATCTGGAATCCTCGAATCCTCAATGCGACGCACCGACGTGTTATGCATTCATTGCAATCGTACCCGGGTACACCGAGTACTTTCATTGACACACGAGACAGCGCAGAAGAGAGGTCCGACTCCACGTCACCTTAAAAAATAAAAAATAAGGACGACTCCGTGGAGTTTTCCGGAGTGGGCGGAGAAACCAAAACACACCTCCGAAAACACACCTCCGATTACCGGTTATTACCGGTTATTCACAGCCCGTGAAATGTTCCTCTCACCCACCACTTGGAATTAACGTGGCTTATTTTACGCCTTAACCGAAATCTAACATTAAACCCGTTTGACCGCCTACATAAGCCACTCTATTATTTTGCTGTATTGACCGGATTTCCTTCAACCTCAATGAACCAATCGGAAGCCCTTCCAGCACTTCCTTGTTAGAACCCAGACCCGGTTAATCAAACCGGCACAATCGATGCGCAGTTGTGCGGCGTCTTTAACTATGCCATAATCGATAGATTGATAGGTGATGTCTGCTAATTGATTTCCCGCGAAAGAGACGCAATTCCTCGCGCCCGAGACGCTGGGACAAGTGTGCAAACCCGAGGTGTTAAACGCTTACTGGTGAGTTGAACACAGTTTAGCGGTATAAACCCTAATTCAGCATGTAAATGATAGCGACGGTACTACAACTGCCCGCTAATAGCATGTACATTATGAATAAATCAGACGTTAGTGTTTAGTGTTAGCCCCCCAACTGAAGCTCTGTGCAGCAAAGCTACTTGCCAGGACACGTTCTGTACAACAACCCAATTTCCTTTGAAGAAATTACCATTTAATTCGGACGTCTATCACTGTAAATCCACACTCTAATAACAATCTGACATGTTTAGCTGTTACCAGTAGCTAGTGTTTAATTCGGCATGCGTCCGACGAAGCAGCCCACATGTAAACAAAGTTACACTTTTAAAACCGACTCGTGTGATGCTGTCTCTCGTTGGGGGACTTCAAGTCTCATGTACCAGTTATTGGGGACTTCAAGTCTCATGTACCAGTTATTGGGGACTTCAAGTCTCATGTACCAGTTATTGGAGCCTCGACAAAAGTGTGCTTATCCTGATCGTACAACACATAATAGTTATTTCATTGTTTTTCAGACTTTGGTGATTTTCAGACCAACACGATGGGAATTCATGGACTTGCCAAGCTGATTGCGGACCAGGCCCCTGGTGCCATCAAAGAGCAAGACATCAAGAACTACTTTGGTAACTGTCACAGGGCCCTTCCTCTGCAAACTGATGATGATGATGATGAGGCCTGCAGATGTAATACACTGCTCAAAAAAAAAATAAAGGGAACACTTAAGCAACACATCCTAGATCTGAATGAATGAAATAGTCTTATTAAATACTTTGTTCTTTACATAGTTGAATGTGCTGACAACAAAATCACACAAAAACTATGAATGAAAATGAAATTTATTAACCCATGGAGGTCTGGATTTGGAGTCACACTCAAAATTGAAGTGGAAAAACACACTACAGGCTGATCCAACTTTGATGTAATGTCCTTAAAACAAGTCCAAATGAGGCTCAGTAGTGTGTGTGTGTGTGTGTGTGTGTGTGTGGCCTCCACATGCCTGTATGACCTCCCTGCAACGCCTGGGCATGCTCCTGATGAGGTGGCGGATGGTCTCCTGAGGGATCTCCTCCCAGACCTGGACTAAAGCATCTGCCAACTCCTGGACAGTCTGTGGTGCAACGTGGCGTTGGTGGATGGAGCGAGACATGATGTCCCAGATGTGCTCAATTGGATTCAGGTCTGGGGAACGGGCGGGCCAGTCCATAGCAGCAATGCCTTCGTCTTGCAGGAACTGCTGACACACTCCAGCCACATGAGGTCTAGCATTGTCTTGCATTAGGAGGAACCCAGGGCCAACCGCACCGGCATATGGTCTCACAAGGGGTCTGAGGATCTCATCTCGGTCAGGCTACCTCTGGCGAGCACATGGAGGGCTGTGCGGCCCTCTAAAGAAATGCCACACCACACCATTACTGACCCACCCCCAAACCGGTCATGCTGGAGGATGTTGCAGGCAGCAGAACGTTCTCCACGGCGTCTCCAGACTCTGTCACGTCTGTCACATGTGCTCAGTGGAACCTGCTTTCATCTGTGAAGAGCACAGGGCGCCAGTGGCGAAGTTGCCAATCTTGGTGTTCTCTGGCAAATGCCAAACGTCCTGCCCGGTGTTGGGCTGTAAGCACAACCCCCACCTGTGGACGTCGGGCCCTCATACCACCCTCATGGAGTCTGTTTCTGACCGTTTGAGCAGACATATGCACATTTGTGGCCTGCTGGAGGTCATTTTGCAGGGCTCTGGCAGTGCTCCTTCTGTTCCTCCTTGCACAAAGGTGGAGGTAGCGGTCCTGCTGCTGGGTTGCTGCCCTCCTACGGCCTCCTCCACGTCTCTTGATGTACTGGCCTGTCTCCTGGTAGCGCCTCCATGCTCTGGACACTACGCTGACAGACACCGCAAACCTTCTTGCCACAGCTCGCATTGATGTGCCATCCTGGTTGAGCTGCACAACCTGAGCCACTTGTGTGGGTTGTAGACTCCGTCTCATGCTACCACTAGAGTGAAAGCACCGCCAGCATTCAAAAGTGACCAAAACTTCAGCCAGAAAGCATAGGAACGGAGAAGTGGTCTGTGGTCACCACCTGCAGAACCACTCCTTTATTGGGGGTGTCTGTCTTGCTAATTGCCTATAATTTCCACCTGTTGTCTATTCCATTTGCACAACAGCATGTGAAATTGATTGTCAGTGTTGCTTCCTAAGTGGGCAGTTTGATTTCACAGAAGTGTGATTGACTTGGAGTTACATTGTGTTGTTTAAGTGTTCCCTTTATTTTTTTGAGCAGTGTATTATTGAGATCAGATGAAAGGTTAATTATCTCATTTGGGAACATTGGATCAATTCTGTATCCTATGATATTGAAATACAACAAAGATGAAGGATGGAAATAGATTATAATCACTTAAAGAAATGACATGTCAGCCATGTCACATTGGAGGTTTGGGTAATTCAATAAAGATGAATTGAGCCCGGAACTAAATTAATCAATAATTACCCAGCCATTTCTTTTCATAGTGGTGTACAGATAGTTTTACAGATATCTAGTTCAGTCTGCCATCTGATTCTTTATGAAAAAGGTAACATGTAAAGCTCCAGTTGTGTCATCTGAATAATTGTGTGCAGTGAGTTCCAGTCAGGCCACACTGCGCATCTTTTACTTAATGCAGGTCATGCTGAACTTATGGGTGAATTAATGAATCTTATATACTTTCTTTACTTTATAATATACTTAATGCCATTGTTCTGATAACCACTGCTGTTTCAAACATGTCAGATAATTAGCTATCTGCTTTTCTGAAATTTTGCAGGCCGTAAAATTGCTATAGATGCCTCCATGTGTATCTACCAGTTCCTGATTGCAGTGCGACAGGACGGTAACGTCCTGCAGAATGAGGATGGCGAGACGACAAGGTGAGCCCCCCCCACAACACAACACAGGCACTTTACCCTGTGAAGTCATAGTAGGAGACACATAAGAGATACGGGAGCTCTTGGATTGCTCCAAGATCAGGTAGCTCAAGTCTCGGGCAGAAGGCTGGAATATTTTTCTCACCTGTTTGCTCTTTTCCCTCAGCCACCTGATGGGAATGTTCTACCGGACGATCCGCATGCTGGAATATGGCATCAAACCCGTGTACGTCTTTGACGGCAAGCCCCCACAGCTCAAGTCAGCAGAGGTGAGTGTGGGCTCTGACCTCGCTGTGATCTTGTTCCCCTGTATATAAAACAATGTAGTCAGAACTGTTACATGATGATTTTTGAGTTTCTTAAAGTGGCATTGAGTGTTACTCTCTGTCATTTGTTATTGACATAATGACCTTTTGTAAGCTACATCATCTGTCTCTTGTTTTGTCTTCCTCTCACTCCGTCTTTGCTCTGCTTGTCTCCCCCCCCAGCTGGAGAAGAGAGGGGAGAGGAGGGCAGAAGCCGAGAAGATGCTTGCTCAAGCTCAGGAACTGGGTACCGTTGATGCTTTTTAACACTTGAGTTCAGAATACTCCTTGTTGGAGCCGGTCTGGCTTTACGGTGCTGTGTTTTCATGTCGGCCCTGACCCTGTAAACCAATGAGATCAGTCTAGATATGTATTATACGATGAGCTGTAATTACATCGTAGAGATTGTGAAAAAAAACGTTTTACTTTTGTTAAAATGTCTGCAAAACTGGTTTGTCTCAACCCAGGGGAACAAGAGAATATTGACAAATTCTCCAAGCGTCTGGTAAAAGTCACCAGACAGCACAACGATGAGTGCAAGAAGCTGCTGACCCTGATGGGAGTTCCCTACATTGAGGTTAGATCATCTCGTACTTCGCTACTCTTGCTTACTTTAAGGATATTTCCACATTTTTATTGACGTTGATTTTGCTAACTAGTTTCGAGGACTTTTTCCCCCACGGGGATGCTTTTTTCTGCACTCTTTCTTACGTTTTCATCATCATTTGTACAGCTGCGTGTTTATTGTCAGAATAGGCTTTAAATACCCAAAGTGTATTTCAACTGCCTTCCCCCGTGTCACAGAAATAATTAGCAACAGGAGAGGTCTGGGTGAATAATTCTTTGAAAATGTAATTTGATGTGTTTTGTATTGAAGGCTCCATGTGAGGCGGAGGCCAGCTGTGCCGCTCTGGTTAAAGCCGGGAAGGTGTTCGCCACAGCAACAGAGGACATGGATGGACTGACCTTTGGGACAAATGTCCTGCTCAGACACCTCACCGCCAGCGAAGCAAAGTAATGCAGTTACTCCATCGTCCCTTTGCACTGCTGGGCTCTGTAGCAGAGACGTTCTGAGAATAGAGATGGCTGGATGTTATGGTTTGATGTCTATTGATGTAACCTGTGAATTAATCCTATTTCTATACTTGATGATGATAAAATTCAATCTGCAATTTAACAATCCATAATTGTCTTACAAGTACTACAGCCATAAAACTAGTAGTAGTACTTCTCTCTACATTTTCTCCTGTCTTATTAAAGGACAAAATTAACTCATATGGAACAGCTTTTGAAGATGGCGTTATTGTTTGTTTCACCGTGAGTCATTAGTAATCTCACCGTCAAGATATTTATTTGTTTTAGGAAACTTCCCATCCAAGAGTTCCACTTCAGTCGCATCCTGCAGGACATCGGCCTGACCAATGAACAGGTAAAGTTTTTTTCTGACTTTGAGAAAGATGCTGCAGATGATGTAATGATAGCATCACTTTTAATCTTGGGTGAAATTCAAGCGCCACATTGTCTGCTTTTATCATGCCGATTGTGCACACTGTCATGAAACTGCAAATTGTTCACAGAAACACTCTGCTGGTAATTAGAACTGTAAGAGCTGTGGGAAATGTACAGCAGGGACATTTCTGTCTTCCTTGCATTAACTACTCCAATCTTTCCGCGGTCCATCCCAGTTCATAGACCTGTGTATTCTGCTGGGCTGCGACTACTGTGGCACCATCAAGGGAATTGGCCCCAAGAGAGCCATCGACCTGATCAAACAACATGGCAGCATTGAGGAGATCCTAGAAAACATTGACTCCAAAGTAAGTTGATGTGTGCTGCGATCCAGACGTTGGGGCAGCTAAACAATGGGGGGGGGGAGTTTGGTTCTGATTCTTTGTGTCGTGTGTGCCTTCATGCAGAAGCACCCTGCTCCAGAGGACTGGCTCTACAAAGAGGCCAGGGGTTTGTTTCTGAATTCAGAAGTGGTGGATTGCTCCACAGTGGAGTTGAAGTGGAGCGAGCCGGATGAGGACGCTCTGATCCAGTTCATGTGCAACGAGAAACAGTTCAGGTGAAACCACCAGCAGACTCATCTCAGAACTGTCCCCCAGTGCTGGATTCATCTTCCCTGCTTGCTTTTTGAGTTTTCCTGCATTGATGATCCTCGGTTGTTGAAATATGGCCAGACAAACTGGTTAGACAACATCCGACCACTAGGCTGCACTGCTGGCCACATAGAGGCTGTGTTTATGGTTCTAGCATCACTTGAGCGCACAGCCTCTCTATATAGTATGAGGTTTATAGTCCATAATAAAGTGTATTCATGACGGACTCTTTACAGTGAACCCTGATGGTTGTTTTGTTACTGACTTCGTCTGAATGCTGCTTTTAGATGCTCGTTTTTATTGCTGAGAAAAGACATGATGGGAAGTTCAGCTGGAAATAACATTGTACATAGGATGACATGTCATTTTGTTTGCATGAATTGATTTATTTGCGTATGTGTACGCAGTGAGGACAGGATGCGCAACGGCTGTAAGAAGATTTTGAAGAGCCGACAGGGCAGCACACAGGGACGACTGGACTCTTTCTTCTCTATCACTGGATCTCTGTCCTCCAAACGCAAGGTACATTTAGAACGACTACAGTGCAGCTGTGTGTTTCCAAAATGATGAGATGATAAGACTTGATCTATAATCAGAGCTGTTCAGCTCGCTGCTTTATTTTGATGCCTGCGAATGTTGTCAAATGTTCCTTTTCTTACACCAAGTTGACATTGTACATCTTCTGAATGTTGGACTCATCCGTTCCATTTCTTTGGCCTTACTTTTAGGAACCTGAGCTCAAAGGATCAGCAAAAAAGAAGCAGAAGACAGGAGCCACGCCAGGCAAATTTAAGAAGGGGAAATAGATGCTACCTTGTTTGTTTTGGGGAAGTAACTATTAGACATGAGGAACACCTATTGAATATAGAAATGAACATAGAGCTCCAGGTGAGGAAGCTGCAACACAATGAGAGGTTGTGTGGTGATTAGATCAGCTGATCAACTGTGTTTATACAAGACCAAAAAAAACAGTTTGTGTGTTTTATTAAAGTGTGTGTTCTGTTATTGAAGAAAAATAATGAAGTTTTTTTTTTTTTTGTAACGCAAAGTGTTATTAGCATTTTTTTATGATTATTATTGTTATTATTCTGCCTGGCACGGCAATTTTTTGTGTCTGTTCTTCCAGGCCGCAGCCAGTACTCCTGTACGAAACACACACACACAGAATCAACTGAACTGGTCCACAGCCGCACGCAGAATGAAGACAAACACCACTATGTGTATAAGCAACAGCATCATTTAAATAGGATGGACCATAAAGAAGAATTAAATAATGTATAAAAGGGAAATAAGAGCGTGTCTTTATGTAAGCCTTGACTCCTATGTTTCCATGAGCTTCATATGGTTCAAATATTTCTAAGTCTCAACACAGACAACTGAAAATAAGTCGTATTTATAACGTTCCCCTACAGAGAATATGGTTTAATATGTGGGCTGTTCATACAGTGCAAACAGTCTGTACTGAAATGACAAATCAAGAGTTATTGATATATATATATAAATCCACATGAGTAGGAATCCAGTTAATAGTGCATTATTAATGATCCTCAGGAGGACATCACATTCACTGCAGCACAACTAAAATGCAATGTACATGCTATTCATCGAGGCAGATACTTGTTTGTGAACTTTCCCACATGTTTAGTTGGTGTTGACACTCTGAATGTGATGAGAAACCTTTGTTTTAGCTGTGTGGCTTATCAACCAGACTAATAACGGGAAGTGGTGGAGGGTGAGGCATGTGCAACGCCCTCAATAAATGATTGTTTTTTACTAAAAAAAGATGTTCACTAAAACAGATGTGTGTTGTATCTGGAAATAAAAATGTTGCTTTCTAACCAAGTTAAAGTTTAAGTTATTCTGTTGTGTCTAAGGGCCATTTTAAGAGTTTTTAAACATATTTAGATGATTATCTGGATAATATTGTGAATCGCTGTTATTTTGGCCATGATAATCACCATATGAAATTTTCATATCGTCCCATGCCAAATCTATACCTAATATAAATTAATTAAAATTTCTGAATAGGATCAGATGACTTGGAGTGCTGCATAGTCACTTTTATTGTTAATGTGAAGAAGTCACACTCACATAATGCGGCTGCTCTTAAGTAACAAATGTTTTCTGAATATTTTGACAGAAACTCAATCAAAGTCATCTGAGAATTGATAGGCCTGACAACATGATGTTGACGGTCTTATTTTTTTGTTTGAGTGTTTTCTTTGGGACACAATTAATTTACAAACCAAAATTAATTTGGAACTGGAAAGTAAGGATGAATAAGAGATGAACATTTTCACTTTAGTTTCCCACTGTACTGTGATCAGTCCACTTGTTTGA